AGATGTCAGATGTTGGTGTTGTCCATGAGATTGCTGCGCTGCTAACTGCTGCAGTCTATGTTTCTTCGATCTGTTCGGCGCAACAGGAACAAAATCAGCTTGAGATCCTTCCTACTTATTTCGACCCGTCTGTCGATGTCACTGGTTTGATCAAAACTGCCTGCTCCTCCTGTCGTGGTTCACTGCCTACATGACGTATCATACCACAAGCGTTATTCCATTTATTTTGGTGGTATGTTTTTTCGTCTTGAGACACGCGTGCGGTAAAAACTACGCCTTATGTGTAGCGCACCAGTTCGCGCAATGGAACGGCCACGTCGAAAACCGGGACTCGATTTATTTTATTTCCTCACGCGCCCCTCGCGCGTCGGCAACCCATCCATGTACATGCGTGTCTCTTTGTCGTCCCGCGGTGTGTTTATTGATCGTGGTGCGTGTTGTTGTGTTTTGGGCACACACCACACACCCTTTTTTGTCTGGGGCAGGGTCGGGGAGAAGGCGATCCTGAAGATTGGGCTGGCGGCACCGAGCAACGACGCAAACACGGGGGACATCGAGCAGCCGCTCCACAGCTTCGTGCAGATGAGGGACGGCCTGAAGGACATACAGGCCCAGGTGACTATTGCAACAGCCACCACCGGCACGTTGGCACTTGCCAACACAGATAAAAGACGTGACAGCAGTTGTATTTCGTCGGCCGTGCAACGGCATGGGGTACGTACAGCTGTGTGCTTCGGCTTCGCTGCTCGCCAGCCACTTGTGTTTTCGTAGAAGTATCTGTATATCTATCCCCTCTCTCGTCTCCTTTCCTGTAATCTACGTGTGGGAACAACCCCGCATCATCGAGATATTGCCCGCGATCACTGAGTGCATTTCGCGGTCTCTTTTGTGGGTGACCTGGCAGGTCCGCAACTACGTGCTGGCAATGGAGGGCCTCTTCGGAGCTGCGCACAACATGACGTTCCTCTTCGCGCCTCTGTCGGGCGAAACTGCCAAGCAGGTTGGTTAGGTACTTAGTCGTGCTTTTTCCCGCAAGACTCGTATACTATTACCTCACTCGGGCTACAAAAGAGTGGGTTGTTGCTGCTGTCCCATGTTTGTAGATCGATCGCAGCACACCGTGGTTGCCACTTGCTTTTCGGTTTGTCGTCACCGGGAGAGAAATTGTCCCCCCCTCCCCCCCCCCCCCTCTTT